CCTATGGTTCAGGTGTAGTTCCTGTGGTTCAGGTGAATTTCCTGTGGTTTAGGTGTGGTTCCTGTGGTTCAGGTGTAGTTCCTGTGGTTCAGGTGTAGTTCCTGTGGTTCAGGTTTAGTTCCTATGGGTCAGGTGTAGTTCCTGCTTGAATAATATCACCTGGCATTGATATAAATCATTACAAATCCAAAGATTATCTGTAGAGCAGGTAAAGAAAACAGCAGTGAGGTAGTGTGGTCAGTTGTCCTCCAGCAGCCTAAGCTTATAGCAGCAGAACTAAAGGATAACTCAGGAAACCCAAACCAGCCCTAACTRTAGGATTTATCAGAAAGGAAAATCTTCAGTCTTGAAAGTTGACAGAGTGTCAGCCTCTTGGACAGAAACTGAAAGTTGGAGCTATGCCTCTCATTTTAGAAACTCGAGGAACCACGAGTAAACCTGCAGTCTGAGAACAAAGTGCTCTGTTAGGAAAATATGGAACAATAAGATCTTTAATATTTTCTGAAATAAAAATGAATAATTCAAGTAGTTTAAAATATATTTTAACTTCAAATTCCAGGTAAAATTTATCTTTAGACCCGATGTATAAAACAAACCTTGATATAAGTTTCTTCTCCTCTCAGCTGCTGGAAACTGGATCTGCTCCTTAAAGAGAAAAAAGACTTCTTCTAATAATAGTTGTGTCAGATTTGTCTCTAATTGTCGACGCTGCTCACACCGTTTGATATTTCTCCACCTCGCTTTGTGACTGATAGCTTTAATTACGAGCGCCACTCCGACAAACCTAGCAGCTCCCCTCTTCCTCCTCCTCCTCCTCCTCCTCCTCATCATCATTATAGCTGCCTGGGATATTGCCTGTGAAACCATAATTGGTGTTTATCATTGTGTCAGAGTTACTCCACTTTTAACAAATTAGAAATGAAGCCTATTAGAGCAAACTACATGCAAATTGATATCTGAGGCTAATTCTGTGAGGGTGTTTTACAGCATCGGACCCGGATTAATTCACCCCACCGCTTAATACATATATTTGTATTTGCACATGAATGTATCCAGGTGATTATGCATTAATTAGCATATGGAAATGAGCATGTAGTATGAATAAAGGAGAGGGGAGAGACAATAAAAAAAAGAGAAACGTGCTAATGAGATGAGATCAGAGGAACAAGAACAACAATAAGGGCAGAAAAAAGGAAACATTTAAAGGAAGRACGAGAACAGAGCGATGAAATATTTGCTTATACTTGGAAATAGTTATTATTATTTAAGGACCAGCTTCCAGTCCAGAACACAAGAACAGGATCTGGTACCGACGTCCTAAAAAACAAAACAATTGCCTGTGAAAGAAGAAACTTTGTGATTTTTTTAGCTTTGGTTAGCTTTTTATTTATCAATGAAGCTAATAAACTACATAAAGCAGGTGATSCTAAATAAAGAAAACAAGTTAAATGTTTATTAAATATCACATAAGTT